ATCCCGGGACTCCAGGATCATGACCTGAGCCGAAGGCAGTCGCTTAACCAACTGAGCCACCCAGGCGCCCTGTCCCCAATATTTAAAAGCCAGTCCATGGGGTGCCTGGGTGGCTCAGTTGTTAGGCGTCTGCCTTCGGCTCAGGTCGTGGTCCCAGGGTCCTGGGATCGAGCCCCGCATCAGTCTCTCTGCTCAGTAGGAAGCCTGCTTCTCCCTCTCCCACTCCCCCTGCTTGTGTTCCCTCTCTCGCTGTCTTTCTCTCTGTCAAATAAATAATAAAATCTTAAAAAAAAAAAATAAAAGCCAGTCCAGTTCTGACTCAGTCCCAAAGATATGAGTATATATGAGGCTAGGAAGAGAGAACCTGATGGAGGTTCTTAGCCGTGGTGGGGCCATTTGATTTATCTGAAGAAAGCTGTGGACTCTCTTCCCATATCTGCACACCATGTTGCAGACATTTCAGCTTCTTGGATGCCTGGCTAGGAACTTTAGGCCAAGTTCAACTACAGTTCATCTGTACAAAGGCGAGGATGACCCAGAGAGTCCATTCTGGAGCCCAGTTGGTGTTTGAACATACCCTGGGGTGTGCCTAAGCAAGCAGTACCAGGCGTAGCACCACATTTCCTTGTCAGAGGTCCAAAATTAGAGGTCTTTTGAAGTAGAGATCAGCCTAGCCCACTCAGTCAGGAGCAAAACTTCACGCTATCCCCCTAGTCACTTATGCCGTAAGGACAAGACCTACGAGGCAAACGGATCCACAAACTGTCTAACTCATTACTCTCCCAAGATGATTTCAGTGGATCGTTCTTCCTAATGCGGCTGTATGCTCACCTCCTTCATAGATACTTAGCTTATTTGTTCTAATTATTAGATTCGACAATGTATTATTCACATTGAAATCATCTGAGGAAACACGGGACAAGATTTTCGGCTTGGATAGGATCTCAGAATCATTTCACATAAAGCTTTCATGTTAAAGATGAGCAAACTGAAGTCCACGGTGGCTAAGTAATGATGTGCAAGATCACATGGTCTGGTGGCAGGGAGGGAATCAGACCCTCACAAGAAAAATGCCTAAAAGCAAGCAGCAATAATCAAGACATTACACAATATGATTTTTTTTTTAAGTGTACAAATTATTTTAATTTTGGCATGTGCTGGATTCAAGCATGTCTGAAAACACAAAACAAAACTCCTAGACTGCTCCTCTTAGGTCAGCCTGCCCCGCCCGAGCCTCCAAGCTCCTGATCGAGCCCAGCAGCCTTCCTGCCTGGAGGTCTTTGTCCTGAAGAATGACGCTCTGCTGGAAAAGCCTACTCACTCCTCCAGCCCTCAGGAGCTGCCAGTCTCGCCTACCACAAAGAAGGCACATAAACACAGACAGACACACGAGAAAGAGCCAGAAGGGAGCAGGAGAGGAAGGCGGGGAGAAAAAGAGCCTGGAAGAAAACAACCAAACCAGAAGCAAGCGGCACTGGGGGGGCCTGGACAATCTCGTGTGGGATCCATCTCATGTCTTTATTTCCTCTCTTCGTCTCACTAAGGACAACTATGTATGCTTCCAGCTGAGATGTGATCTGCCAAGGAAAAAAATCTTCAAATTCTTAATTCTTTCCCCCAAGTCACTAGGTTGCCTTGGTGAAAATCAGTTTGTGTTCCTCTGTAAGAACGAGGTAAACAGTTCAGATCCTAGGGCTTCCTGTCAGGCTCTCGCCAGGTTCTTCCACCTGAGGTGGGACGGTCAACAACACAAAGCCAGATCTCGAACTTCACCAGCTGCAAGCAGCCTCATCAGTGGACCCACATGGGAACTGATAATGCTTTTGAGCAAAGAAGGGTAAGATTAAATGTTCTTTAGCCAAGTTAATGTGATTGAATTCTCTGTTTCAAGCACTGGGCTGAGCTTACACTTCCATTTCTAAATCTTCTTTTCTTTCATATCCAGACAATAGTCATGTCATATGCATAGTTATGTAATAAAGCCCCAAACAGGGTACTTTTCAATTCCCCAACAATGCTGTGTGGACTCTACTGGGATAGCCATACCCAAACCAAAGAGCTGCTTTCTCACTAATGACATGGCTTTGAGAGAACATGGAAATTGCCTCTACTGCTCAAACAAATAAATACATCCTACATCTCTCAATTTAAGGGCAAGTCAAATTAAAAAGAGATTCTTTTGTTTCTACCCTCAATTCTGCCATATGTTAGAATGCACTGAGGAAGTTACAACATTTTTACTTTGTTCCTTTATACGTGACAAAGAATTCTGGGGTCCCTATGGACAAACCAGGAATACAGAAATAAAGTAGTCCTACTGTCTGGAAAATGGGAACACGGGTCATGATTATCGCAGTCCTTCTGAAAACACTGTCCCCAGGACAGAAGCACACATCAGTGTGGTTCCAGTAGTCTGCTTCTAAAATCTTCCTTGATGGAGAGGGAGAGGCACTGTACACAGGGAGCTCAGAAACTTTAATGTGCAGACACATCAGGAGACAGTAGTCCTCCTCACCTGTTTGACCAGCACATTCTTCATGACAACCATCGGTGACAGCGTGGGGAAGGCACTGCCCGCAGTCTTGGAGTTCTGCCTTGGCCTATCTTCTCGGCTCCAGCCTAAGGCGCTCAGCATGTCCTCGGACTCCATCTGCTCAGCTGAGCTCAGACACTCTGAGCTCCCATCTGCTGGGCAGAAGAATGGTCAGTTCGCATAGGATCTAGGCTAGGGGCTCCTAAGCAGACCTTCTAAGGAGTTAACAGACTTCTCGAACTGGAATGCAACATTTGTGATATACATTTTTGTGAATTTTTCTGAATGGGTCTTTAGCTTTCATTGTATTCTCAATGGAATCCACACATGACCCCTCCTAGCCCCAAAAGATTACAAATCACTGCCCTAGGACAGCAGACTTTCTTTCTAACTCTATTACAGACAAAAGCTTGCATCAGTTAGGGTTTATGTGAAAGTAATCATCACCAGCCTACAGGAGAAACAGGTTGAAGGTTTCAAAGTTAGATCATTACTTTCAAGAATCTGCTGCTGAGACAGGAGGGGAGTGTGTGTGACTGGGGCAGGATTAAGACCTTTAGAGGCTTATTATTATATCTTAAGATATAATAATAAAAACAAAACCAACCTTCTGTAAACCTCAAAACTTACATCCATGCTGAAATTTAAATAGCTCCATCCTAAATTTTCTAATTGCACAATTCTGGATAAGTTCATCAAAGCTGAAATTTAAAATGTGTCTGTTACCCGCCTCCACCCAACACCTCCAACAAAGGAGGTGTTGGTATCCTAAATGCACACTGAGTGTGCCTCTTGGGGATCCTGCACAATGGGAGATAGAAAGATACTCTCTGAGGTAAAGAAAATGAGGTTGCCCGATGTGAAATCCATACAAAAAGGACTTAATTAGCTACCTCCTAGAGTAAACCAAGAGACTGCTCTAATCCTGCTAGCGAGGAGTCTGGGAATACACTAAATGCTCATCAAGAATCTGAGTAATTTGGCTGAGGCAGGACGGAAATGTGACTATAATTTAAATGAGTGTAACTGTCAACACTTGCATTTAATCAGAATCTCTAGTGATGTTTTTTAGAATTTACAGATGTTGGGGGCCTCCCCTCAATCTACTGAATGACTTATCTGGTGCCCAGGCAAGTGGATTTTCACAAAGCACAAGGATTCTGAATGTGCACCTCTAGTGAAGAACCAGGGCCAGAGACAAAGGATCTCAGAAGCAATATGCATGCCTAGCGCATGGATCTTGTTTCTAAACGCCATTCTGCACAAAAAGAAAAACGGATCCTTGGAGAAACAGCTGAGTTCAATTCAAGTCCTTGGCAGTGAAAAGCACATGATGAGCCTGGACATCTTACCGTCCCAGAAAACAAGGAAGTGCTCAAACACAAATGGGGTCAAGTTGAAAAAACACAGAACTATCTAGAAGGAGTTCCCACTGGCCAAATTTGGGACAATTATATAGGAAATGAATTACAAAAGAATTCCATGAATCCACAGTGGTACCCTGCTGTACAGAAGACTGTCAGCTAATAAAGTGTACAAGGAGTGATAAATCGGATCACCATTTTTAAGCCAAGGATGTAGTAATTGATTCAGGCAAGGAACATCAGTGGTTGCTAAAACCACTGGTCAAGAGTTTTTGGGAAACAGGATAGTTACGCAGTGTCAAAGTATCATCCCATAAACTATGTACTAATTACAAGGAGAAAAGGGTACTTTTACAATAAATAAATCTCCTATATGTTTACACACTACCTTAACCACATGACCAGCCAGGGATGGCATCACCAAGAACAGACAAGCTTTGGAGTCTCATTATATGCTGCTATGGGAAAAATGTAACATCGAGTGTAGTACTCTGGTAAAGAAAAAATGCTTATCCTGATTCTAATATGGGGAAACCACCAGAAAAATCCAGAGAGTGAGACATTCTACAAAACAGGCCTAATTCATTCAAAAATGTCACTGTCGTTAAAGAAAACAAAGGGAAGAAGGGAAGGAAGGAAAAGGCAAGGAAAGATGAAGGTGCTGTTCCAGACGAACTCAGACTAAAAAGGACAACTAAATGAAACGCACACAATCCTCAACTGCATCCTGGATCCAAAACAAACACACTGACAAAAAGATAAATAGTTATAAAGGACAATATTGAGACAATGGGGAAAATCTGAATATGGACTGTGGCTAATTAATAACTACATCAATGTGAAAATTCTTGGTTATGACACTAATGTTGTAATTATACAGAAGAATGTTATTTCTTTAGGAAATTCGTACTGAACTATATATGTTTATATATAGATATGTGTGTGAACAGAAAGAGGTGTGTATGTGTAGAGAGAGATAAAGCAATAGGGCAAAATGGTATCACTCAGTGGATCTGAACGAAAGACATCTGTGATGTTCGTTCCGTTTTGTGTATATCTGAAATTTTTCAAAACATAAAGGTGGGAAAATAATTCAAATGGGAAAAACTACCTTGGTTTTACAAATCCCATCACGCTCCAAGGTAACTGGAATGGTAACTCGGGGAACTGATGAACTCACTCCCTGGCACGTGGCCCAGGAGAGGCCGGAGGCATTCACTGGGGCCGCTTTCTGGGGCATAATGATGATTTTTAATCCCACCTTATGTCTGAACAACATAATGCTCCTTAAAGTGCTTTGACATAGAGAATAAGGCAACTATCAGAAAAACTATCCAGACTTTAGGACATACTACAAAACATGTGGCCTGACAAGGCTGAGGTTGTTGGAAGGCAAATGGAAATGTCAATATCCTGGCAATAATCGGTGGTAGGATTACGGATGTTTAGTTCTTCTTTGCATGTTCCTAAGTTTCGAAGCTTCTACAATGAGCATGTATTACCTTCATGATATGAAAAAGAGATGAAAAACAAACATGATACTAAAAGAAAAAAAGAGCCATTAGGCCTACGTTTCCCAAACCAGTCTGATCACAGAAATCATCAGAGACACGTGTAAAAAGTGGTAAAACCCATCTTTCAGGCCCTCCCTGAGACCTTCACTATCGTAATCTCCAGGAGAGGAGTCTGGTTATCAGTATTTTTTTTTCTTTTTAATTCTCCCTCAGAGAATGAACCCTGCCCACACCTTGATCTCAGACTTCTAGCCTCCAGAACTGTGAGATGACAAATGTGCTGTTTCAGTCATCCGGTTTGTGATACTGTTACGGCAGTCCTAGCAAACTCATACACCATCCTAACCAATAAGTCTGGCTGGAATATGGAATAACCTTAGCTCAATCCACAGCAATATTCTTATCATTCAGATAACAGGAACTGCACAGGTATCCACGTGCCCCCCCCGCAAACTTCAACCATAATCTCAGCCCAGTCCCTGATGAATTTGGGCCAAAGGTCAGTATATATGGAATGCCAAAGCAAGGGAATCTTGTGGCTGTCTTATAGAACACCAAGAAGTGTGGATAGCTGCACCAATGTAGGTTTATTTTGTTTTATATTTTTTAAAGATTTCAGTTACTTGTTTGAAAGAGAGAGTGCGCTCGAGGGAGGGAAGCACAAGCAGGGGGAGGGGCAGAGGGGAGAGGGAGAAGCAGACTCCCCGCTGAGCAGGGAGCCGGATGCAGGACTCAATCCCAGCACCCTGAGATCATGACCCAAGCTGAAGGCAGACACTTAACCAACTGAGCCACTCAAGCGTCCATGTAGGTTTTAGTCCCCACACAGAATAGTTTCACTCCAGTGTAGCAACTGTGAGCATCTCAAAGTGTATTCCTCATCACTGACTACTCCTGATCAATTATTGAATGAATAAATGAATAGATGAGGTGGATTTGGCTGACTCAAGAATTTCATCAGACCTTGGGGCACCTGGGTGGCTCAGTCGTTAATTGGCTGCCTTCGGCTCAGGTCATGATCCCAGGGTCCCGGGATCAAGCCCCGCATCGCGCGGGAAGCCTGCTTCTCCCTCTCCCACTCCCCCTGCTTGTGTTCCCTCTCTCGCTGTCTCTCTCTCTCTCTGTCAAATAAATAAATAAAATCTTTAAAAAAAAAAAAAAAGAATTTCATCAGAACTTGCCACTAAGTACTGGGCTATAGTGTCGAAAGGTAGGGCCTCTGGAATCACACATCCCTGGATTCAAATTCCAGCTCTACCACTGACCAGTTACCTGATCTTAGAAATTATGTAATTTTTTTTTTAAAAACATTTTTTTAATTTTTAAAAGATTTTTTTTTTATTTATTGTAGAGAGAGTGTGTGTGCATGAGCGCATGCAGGGGAAAGAGCAGAGGGAGAGGGACAAGCCAACTCTATGCTAAGCAGAGCCTGAGGCAGGGCTTAAAGCAGGGCTCAATCCCAGGACTCTCAGATCGTGACCTGAGCCAAAATCAAGAGTTGGACGTTTAACAACTAAGCCACCCAGACACCCTGGAAATCATGTAATCTTTCTATGCCTCAATTTCCTCATCTGTAAAATGGGGAACATAATAGTTACTTTCTTACAGGATAGTTGTTATGATTTATTTTATGTGAACTACTTAGCATGATTCATGCCATGATGTGTTGCGGCTGGTTCTTCCCAGCTCATTCAGACTAACGGTATACATCTTTTCTAATTCCCCAAATCTTCCCATCCCCACATTTGGTAACATCGTATAAGTAGCTTGAAATTAATTGGTCCTGGTGAGAGTGTATGTATCATGGAAACCGGCAGACATTATACATCAGGGGCTGGCTTCCCAACCAGCCATGGGTTACAGAGACCTTATATGGTAAATTCTATGTAAATGTTAACATCATTATTATTACTCAGTAGGTACTCCCACTCCCTTGGGAGCTTGAAAAGACATTCTGCTAATTAACTGAGTAACACTGATGAGATTCCTTTAGCAACTGATGACCTCAGGGGAATCAGGACATACCTGGGTGGTAGTGATCGGTATTTTTTTTTTTTTAAGATTTTATTTATTTATTTGAGAGAGAATGAGAGATAGAGAGCATGAGAGGGAAGAGGGTCAGAGGGAGAAGCAGACCCCCCGCCGAGCAGGAAGCCCGATGTGGGACTCGATCCCGGGACTCCAGGATCATGACCTGAGCTGAAGGCAGTCGCTTAACCAACTGAGCCACCCAGGCGCCCCGGTAGTGATCGGTATTTTTAAAAAGAATCTCAGGTGAGCCTTATGATGAGTCAAGCCTGGGAAACAATGCTGAGAGAGAAGAAAAACCCAAAGGGCTAATAAGCTGGCCCTCCTTCCCTGGACTGTCCTTTTTCTAATCCTTCGATCAGTTGTTACTCTGTTCCTCTCTGAGCAACAATCTATTTTTAATTTGGCTTCTCATGCAGTATGCCTACAGGGAGAAAACACACCAGTCTAGGGATGAGAGTTCTAATTTTCCTAACAGCTGCATTTTGTACTATAAATTAATAAATCAACAAGATGGAGTGATTAGTCTCTGTGAAGCTGGATAACATACATCTTCCTCTAGGAGAGGGGCTCTACCTCCTGGATGCTGACCCAGCCAGAATCCCCTGGCATCATCTTTCTGTGTCCTCTTGGCCAAAGATGTTGACACTAGAGCCATATTTAAGCCATTACCCTCAAACCTCGAAATACAAGTGCCCAGCACAATAAAAGATTCGCTGTGTAGGCAGCTCGCCCTTTCAGATAAGGTTTAAAACAAACTAGTGAGGAAACCTGAAAACCATTCTACTTGCTTGTCTCTAATAGGGTCTCCAGTTTGGAAGTATACTGGGGGGTCTCCATCCAAATACAGAATACACAGATCCTGGCAGGGATGGGTTGTGGGGGGAAATGTTTTTAGACACGGCAAAATTACTTTCTTAGCGAAAACAGTTACCTTAAATTATACACTATTTTGTTTTTCATTTGCTACACGGTGACACCACGCAGTAGTACTTTTTTTCCGGCAATGTAGCTATTCCTATGAAAAAGGAGCTAAGACAACAGAATTGTGAGTATTTAAATATTTTTTTTTCCAGTCACCACTTGCAATAGTTGGACATGTTAAGATTTAAAGTTGAGAGAGTCTGAGTTGAAAAAAGATGGCAGATCATCCCTTCAGAACTAACCCCCAATGACTCTGATGGGTAGCCCAGCATATGGCACCAGAATTACCATTTTAAGAGATCAGATAGTTATTTATCCTGTACATGAAAGCTTCCCACATTTATCACACAAATGAGTTTTAGGGAGGACATTTTTCAGGCAAATCATTCATTGCAATGTGGAAGGAATAAGGTATTTTTAACCTGAAAATCCAGAGTCCTTATCTGACTCAGCAGCTGCCATGCCGAATTGACGAGCCGCCTTCTTCATCTCCGTGCCTTTGCCCAGTTTGGCCGAGAGTCTTCTGGGGCTCTCTCTGGACGGGTTTTTCCTCTCCATGTTTTACTGGGCTGCAAGCAGATTCATCAATGGTCCTCCTTTCATCTGGATTGCCCTGGGAAAAACAACAATTATGTAAGAAGACAGTGCCTGGAGAGCTGACACAGGTGATCCAGCTGGTGAGAAAAGTGAGGGCAGAGAACGCTGGCCTCACCCACTTCCTCCGTATTTTCTCAGAGGCCTCCACTTATACGGGCTTCAAGTTTGCTACAAAGGAGAATGGTTTCCACCCAAAAGGAGGTTCACTGTCCTCTCCTGCCCTCAAATTCCATTACAAATTCAGGGCACACAAACCACGCTTAGTGGAAGCTTTGTAAACTGCTAACAAAGGCACACTTGATTAGGCTTTTTGGAAGGGATAACTCCCCCCGCCCTGCTCCCCAGGGAAGGGAGGAGAGGTGATGCCCATCTTGGACAAGGCTTGCCTTCCCAGCATGCACTGGCAGGCTCCGGACTTGGTGCCACCTCCCACAGTAGAGTTGCTCAAATTAACCTTTCACTTCTTTGGATGAGGTACTGAACAGAGTAAACACAACTCCTCGTATGTGCAGGCTACATTTTGGCTTAAAAAGAACTTTTCTGCACAAATAAGACCATGTATAATTGTGCTTTGATTCTGTACAAGTCCACACACAACATTACTGCTGTAAATATCCTCCTCAGTTGCTCTTCCATTTTACAGAGGAGGAAGCTGAGGCTCAGGTTAAGTGACACTCAGTCATTTAGAAATAGTTATCCAGTGCCCACTATGAAGCAGGCATTGTGCTAGGACCAATACAAAGTGCACAGAACAGACATGGTTGCTACCTGGCTGGAGCTTATCGTCTAGAGAGCCAGACAGACACTAATCAAGTAATCATACAATTACTTAATCACTTTTTTTTTAAAGATTTTATTTCTTTTGATAAAGAGAGAGGGAAAATGAGTGGGGGGGGAAGGGGCAGAGGGAGAGGGAGAAGCAGGCTCTCTGTGGAGCAGCTGAGCAGGGAGCCCGATGTGGGGCTTGATCCCAGGACCCCAGGATCATGACCTGAGCTGAAGGCAGACACTTAACCGACTGAGCCACCGCAGGTGCCTCACTTAATCACTATTTTTTATATCAGCTATGAAGGGGAGGGGCTAACAGTCTGGGGTGGGAGGTACTGGGCAAGGGAATGCTTTCCTGAGGAAGTGACATGTAGCTGGGATCCAGAGGAGTCAGCCAGGGGAAGGGGGATGAGTGGGACGTGGCCCTGTGAAGGCTCTAAAGGGGCAAAGAATCGACACATTCAAAGAGTTGAGAGGCCAGGGAGACCAGAGCACGGTGCAGGGGGTAGAAAGCACCCCCTGCACTTGCACCTAGAGGGACTGGTGGGGGCCAGACGGGCAGTTCCTTATAACCCATGATCCCAAAAGCATTTTCAAAGCATTTTGGAGGCTGGACTGAGATTAAAATGGAGAGAGGCAAGAGAGGCATTGAGATCATTTGGATACTACCACAGTAGCCCAGGTGAATTAAAGTGGTGGCAGTGGGGATGGAGAGAAGGGAACAGATTGGAGATATATTTAGAAGGAAGACTTGATGGGGTTTGGTGATTGCATGTTGGGAGGTAGATGGTGGGACCATTTCCTAGGCTAGGCAGCCCAAGAGGGCACAGAGGGACTGGGTGGCATGGCTAGGCCGGTCCGGTCTTGGCTATGTAGAGAGAAGTGACTGTGGGTCATCCAAGTGGAGATGCTGGAGAGACTGTCACATGTACAAGTCAGGAGCCCAGAGAAGCTAAAGAAGCCTAGACTTGCCCCAGTGACACACGAGTCCACAGCAGATCCAGTGCTTGGCTAACAGTGCAAAGAATGAGACAAATGAACACTTCAAAGAGCTGGCAGAGGCTGAGAACATTCCAGATATTTTAACAAGGCCATAGGAGTCCCTGTGGAATGGCAGTGGTAAGGATGGCATGTTAAGAACACAAAGGCTACTGCAGGGATAAAGAGAACAGGGAAAATGGCAATGACGATGACAAGTGGGCAGGTGCTGTGGTCTGAATGTTTGTGTCCCCCCTCCCCGAATTCTTATGTTGGAATCCTAACCCCCAGAGAGGATGGTATTAGGAGGGGGGGGCCTTTGGGAGGTGCTTAAATCATGAGAGTGGAGCCCTCGTGAATGGGATGAATGCATTATCAAGGAGACTCCAGAGAGACCCCTTGCCCCTTCCACCAGAGGACAGTGAACGCTCTGTGACCCAGAAGACGACTGTGCTCGCCCCCTGACCTTGGATTTCCAGCTTCTAGAACCGCGAGAAATACATTTTTGTTCTTTATATGCTGCCCAGTCTCTGCTGTTTTGTTACAGCAGCATGAATACACAAAGATACTAGGTATAAGCAATGCCTGGTGAGGTTTTAATTCACAGTCCACTCGCGACTCCATCCATTTGTCCTTCTGAATGGAGAGGAACACGAGCTCCCTGCCAAAGGGCACTGTATCTGGAATACCCTGAAATGCCAAGTCTGAACACTTCTCTAGCAGTGGATATAGTGAAGAACATCAACTACTCCAGAAGCAGAGGAGCAATTCAAGATAAAATTAAGACAAGGATGTTCACAAGCAACCTTTAGCAACCCTCTTGCTCATACTTTTGCATTCAGTAGAAGTGGACTTAAAGGGAACTTGCCTGAAATGAGACTGAATTTTAAACACAACTCCAAGTAAAAATTATTCTGTATCCTATCTAACTTATTCAAGGGGACTGGCTTCTCCCATTCAATCCATGTCAAACCAAGCACTCTTGGTCACAAGTAAGTCCTATGTGCATAAAAGATAAACAATGGCACTGTCCCATCTTGCACAGCACGATGGAAAAGCAGGATCTCTATTGGGTGGCTATGAAATTGGACAGCATGAATAATCCAGTTTAAAAAGGAGCCCAAAATGTAGAACTGTATGTCTCATTAAATCAGGATCCTTCTGTATGGAACCCAACAAATGTGCATAGTTTCATTTTCCTGAAGTAATACCATCGAAAGGGAACAGGAAGCTTCTTCAAAATGGACGGAGGTGTACCTTGTGGATGGGCAATCAGACTTAAAGTCTGACCCTGCTGTTGATTTAGATCAGGAAGGTAGCTCATGTTAGTTGCAATTAATTGAGCGCTTGGCAAAGTTTTCACATTACCTTACTAGATGTGAATTATTTTACAGGTATTTTAGATAAAGCATCCCAATTTAGTCTACAGTCCTTTTGATAAGACAACAAAAAAGGTCTTCTTACTGTTACTAAAGTGTGGTCAATGGAACTACAGAAGATACACAGGAGTTTTCTGGCTCATTGAGAAGGTGCATAATTGTGGAATCAAAACACAAACGTTGACTAATAGGTTAAAAGGAGAACAGATGCAAAAATGTTAAATCCTAGAGAACTGGTGGCAGTTGGAAATAAAGAACGCATAATCCACTTTAGAATAGCAAACGGACTACTTTGGATGTGAAAGTGGCTAAAAATATGAAAGCCTCTGTCCGAAGTAAAGTTCTTTTTCAGCAACAGAAAGCCTTAATGTCTTAGGAAGGTGGGATGGACAACGAAAGTCTACATCATCACACCTTGACCTCTCTTCTCTGAGAAGAGAGGCACTGCCTTCCTGGGAGTGGCCCTGGGGACATCAATTAGCCAGTAAACAACAGACCCACTCCTGCACAACACCCTATGAGGCCCAGGACAGCAGAAAAGCACGCAGTGATGGCATTTACCACCACTGCTCTCAAAGCCAGGGCCATGCAAACGGCAGTCTGAAAACCTCAAGACTGTTTTTCCTCCTCAATATTATTTTACAATCAAGGTAGATGCTCATAAGCTGACTAGCGGTTGAAATTGGGTTACTAAGCTCTTACCCAGCGCGCCATCTCCTGCTTCCTGGCACAGACTGGAAACCACTAACCCTGCTTTACAAACATCTGAGCTCCTCACATGCCTGACTCTCTGCTAAAAGGGCTCCAACTTAAGTTCCCCCAGACTGTCAGAATCGACCTAATTGGGCCTCTTCTAGGTGCACACGTGACACATTGTCCAGAACGTTCCCAGAGGGAAGAGTACATATAAAACTCATAATGGAGAGTGAATCAATAAATATAGAAGTTTATATAAATAGGCATAACATAAAATTTTAACAAGTGCTCCACAGCACTTGGCTCTTCTCTATTTTTACACTCCTTATATTATAGTCTGGTTATCTGTCTCCTCAACCTCAAGAATTGGGTTTTGTGTTTTTTTTTTTTTTTCATCTTTGCAACCTCAACCCCCCACAACTAATGTGTGAGGTGCTCAAGAGAATAATACTTCCACATTCCAACAAATCTTCTGTTCTGCTGCGTCCCACTGACAGCCTCGCAGCTTAGCTGTCACCGAAATACCTGAACAGCTTGAAGGTCAAGACTGTGCATTTCCAAACACCATGGTCATCTCAAGATCTAACTTCCGGGTCTGGTCTCCTGCAGGAAACAGGTATCTCATTTACCCCTTATTTTAAGGTGAAACCTCAGGGATAAATCCACCAACCGAATTAAAGGTTGTCTAATCCACAATCTTTATGGAGATTTAAGCTTATGATAAAAGGGAGACCCAAGGTTTACAAGGAAAGGATCTTGAAATGCCCCTCAGATCTTTCCTTTTATAGACACTTGGCAACTTTCCCAAGAGCTCAAGTTCCCTTTAAAAATGTATCACGTGGATAACATGCGTGCATGGACAGAGGTGTGAGGTGAAAGTCCAAGCAGAGGCTTAAATACAAAAAAGCACAAGGCCATAAAAATTAAGACCTTACCACCCAGAAAATCATGAGTAATCCCAGTTAGAATTAGAAATACATTACTAGCTTTTCCTTCAAGTTATTTTGTCTTGGTCTCCATATGGGAGATACCATTCTGGGGAAATGTCTGTGTGCTTTAACAGAGGAAGGACACCTCCCTCCAACCTAAATCTCAAATATTAGTTTTCCCCTTCGTCTCCATTTCCATTCTCCAACTTGGCTTCAAATTTATGTCAAAGATCCTGAACCCCAATTCCATACAATTGTCCTCTGTTTGGAACCAGATATGGCTCCCTTCATTCTCCTTTTCCAAAGAGATAAGATTAGTGAAATTCTCCAAATCCCCAGCTTCCAGAAGGGTTCACAGTAACAGTGCCCACCTCCCTATTCGCACCAGCCCACGCTGCATCTGTGCCAGGCAGCAGGAGCACCCTCCAGGCATCCACCAGCCTGCCAGCTCAGCAGGGCAGAACTGGGCAGACCCTAGGACCATGCTGTGACTGGCATACCACCAGACTCCCAGGGCAAACGCCCAGGCAATGTGTATTGCCAGGACTTGGGCAATAACAGGGAGCCTGGCTGTGGCCTGTGCCCTGGGCCTGGCTCAGAAGTCCCTGAAACCCACCCACTAACCACTAACTCCTTACTTGGCACTGCGCACTTCTCCCCCACCTCCCCACGCCCTGGCACCATACCTGGCAAGCTGGCCACCCAGGAGAAATAACCAGCCAAATGGGTGACAGCAGGTCTCTGCAAAAGACAGCACACCTGCGTCCTGCGCCCAGGACGGGGCACTATGTCCCCCCCCTAACTGGAGGCCCAGGACCCTCACCGGGTTACCAGCCCTGCTCCCATTCACCTGCCCATTCCCTGCCCCTCTGCTCAGAGCCCTGAAGGCCTGCGGGCTCGCCGCCGCTGCCTGGACGCCCAGCAGGGCTAGTCCGGGGCCCACCCGCCCTGACTGCGTACCCCACTCGCTGCCCATACAAGTCCCCCCCCACACACAGCCCCCAGTCTCCCGCGATCCCCTCTCCCACGCAGCCGCGCCCCTCCAGCAAAAGAAACCAACTAAAAGGGGAACAGACGCACCACCTCCTGCTCCCACCATTTGGCCCTCTGTCCCCCGAAAGTCCGGTCCTCTCTCTTGCCTACGTCGCTTCCCTTCTCGCCCCTACTCCTGCCTCCTTTCCCCACACTCCCCGCGCGAACCCTCTGCCCCCGGGCCCAGCCCTCCCTCTCTCACCTAGGGCCGAGGTCGCCTCTCCACGACCGGCCCCGCGGGTCAGGCGACGCATGCGCGAGCCCGGCCCCGCGGCTCCATGACAACCCCGTCGGCGCCTGGTCTCAAGCTATTCCCCCCGCCCCCTGCTCCCGCCTCCCGCCCATTTCTCCTCCCTCCGCCTCCGCGGCGGCGTTCTCCGGACACGTGACTCGGCTCGGACGAGCCGGCACAATGGAGACTGTCGAGGTCCTCCTAGAAGGCCCCCCGCTACCGGAAGGCGAGGCGGGCACGCCTCTCAGGGAGGTGCCGACGTCCCTGAAAGGCCTGGGCTCTCTCCGCGGAAGGCGGGCGTCTCTATGGTTGGTTCCCCGGATTCGCCGCCATTTTGTACAGGGGATCTTGAGCGAAGAGCCGCGGGGGCACGGCTTCGAGGCGGGGTTTTGAGGAGCAACGGGTGGGCTGGCTTCTAGCAAACTGGGCAGGAGGCGTGATTCTCCTGCGGGAGTGGGTGATTAGCCGGGTTTGGCTCTCTCGGTCTGTGCGCAGGGACACTCTTAGGGTTGGGGACCGGGACAGGCCTGCTGACGTGCACGTGAAGCCGAGGCGGTGGCGTCCGGCGTGGGAGGGCAGGCGGCACCCTCGCCGCGGTCTGGGCCTGGCGGAGGCGTGTCCCAGCGCCCCGCGAGCGGCTCACGTTTTTGCCACGCGTGTCGCGGCGGTTGGCTGGCGTTCCCGGCTACCTCTCCAGGCACCCTCCACGAGGCAGGGACGCAATATTTCTTTTGGACGGTTTCACGTTCTTTGATGTATGACTCCCTCTGTCCCGTGCGACTGTCCGAGCTGCTGGGTTTTATATGGATACCGTCTCTCCTGCCAGCTTTTGGTGAAGTGTCACAATGAGCACGCCTGTAATAGCCAAAGAAAAAGGGGTTGGGGATCAATTCCCTTGCATTCGATCAGTGAGGGTTACTAATTAGGTTAGAATAAAAGTCCTTTTCAAGTGAATTTAAAGAGACCGACACGTGGAGGCAAGTTCTAGAGCTGCCCTGTCCAGTCTAGTAGCCACTAACCACTAGGGGGTACTGAACTAATTAACAAAATTTCAGTTTCTCATTTGCAGTAGCCGCATTTTAAACCCTCAGTGACCACATATAGCCAATGGCTACCTTACTGGACAGCGCAGATTATAGCACGTGGCCAATATACAGAAATGTATTCATTCAACCGCGCTGATCTAGATCACGGGACGGGGAAATCGCCCTGTGTTGGTAATCCAAGCCTTTGTAAGCGCTGCTAGGTCATGGTTAATCACGTTAGTCCTCTAGACACAGATAATGCTAATGCATTATTGCATATGAATGTATTAGTGTAAGCCCCACCAACAAATAATAATTGAATGCCTACAGCATGTAAAGTTTTTGTTGAGGGGATGGAGGGAGTGAAAACAATAGTTAACAATTATCAAGTAATTAAGAGCCAGTCAGCTTTACATGCATTCTCTTACCATGCTTCTGCAAATTTATGAGGTTGGCGCTAGTATCATTTGTAGTTGATAGATGAGAGCACTGAGGTTTATGCTCATGAGATGCAAAATTACTAAGTCCAAGATCTTAACCATTAACCATATTGCTTCTTTTTGGGGCAGAATAAAACCGTCTTTATCTTCAGATATCTTAGAATCTGATATGGGAAGGACATGCTCTAATAAACTATATGAGAATGTGGCAAATGCCAGAGGTTTCTGAACATAATCTAATTAATAAAATCGAGGAAGAAAAAAATAGCCTTCAGTTTTTTGTTTGTTGTTGGAGAAGGAAGAGAGCAAAAGGTACAACTTTAAGAAGGACAGATAAAAGTTGGATTTACAATGATGGAAGTAAATGAGGGCATAATGCATACCAGAGAAAAGAGAATAAATGAAATAAGCCAAAGCATGAGGATTATTTTAGTCCTCCACAGGTGCAAGTAAACCAGACTTACCTGATTTTACCTATCTTATGAGCACCTATGCTCTATCAATAACTTGAACTTCAAAGGCAAGTTTGCTAATGGAAACAAATGAATCAGACCAATTTACTGATAGGTGTGATTTTTATTGAGTATGATTCTATATCATTAGTGATATAAGCAATTCATGAAAGTGGGTAATTTTTAAAAAATGGGTAATATTTTTTTTTAAAGATTTTATTTATTTATTTGAGAGAGAGAGAATGAGAGATAGAGAGCACGAGAGGGAAGAGGGTCAGAGGAAGAAGCAGACTCCCTGCTGAGCAGGGAGCCCGATGTGGGACTCGATCCCGGGACTCCAGGATCATGACCTGAGCCGAAGGCAGTCGCTTAACCAACTGAGCCACCCAGGCGCCCAAAAAAATGGGTAATATTTTTATATAGCCAAACCAATGTAAAAAAATTTCTTCCTGGCTTTGTTAATTTGCCAGGGTTTGTAAATCAGCATCTTAGTGGATAGTTTCCTGGTGGCATGACTTCTTTAATCTTTACTGTCACACTCACATTTAGGCTCAGGTTCCTATGACGGAGAGTGGGTTTGGAAGCACCTCTTCTTGCTGTAGAGTCCTTTCCAGTTGGAGTCCTCAGTACTCCACACACAGTCCGTTGTGTGGCCCAAGACTCATTTTGCCACCACCACTGCCAGCAGGGGGAGACCTGCTCCCTTAAATGCTACACTCAAGGCTTTGCGAATTGGCTTCTTTTCCTTTCTCCTGGTCATGGAGGGCCACAGTCTGGAACCAGAAGCTGCACTTCCACCCAGCCTATTTCATTAGGTTGTTAACTCCCCCATCCATGTGAGGATTTGCATTTTCAGTCCTGCATAAGGATGCCATGAAGAGTCAATCTTGTGCTGAGTTTCATTTGAAGAAATTTTCAAGTATACAATATGGTATATAATTTAAAATACTTGTAAATAGTTGTTTAATACATATTTTAATATTTAAAGTTGAAATTAAAATTAAAGTTCATCTAGGAACACCTGGGTGGCTCAGTCAGTTAAGGGTCTGCCTTTGGCTCAGGTCATGATCCCAGAGTTCTGGGATCGAGTCCCACATAGGGCTCCTTGCTCAGTGGGGAGCCTGCTTCTCCCTCTCCCTCCGCCTGCCACTACCCCTGCTTGTGCTCGCTCGCACTCTCTTTCTCTCTGACAAATAAAATCTTAAAAATAAATAAATTAATTAAAGTTCGTTTAGAACTATTTTAAATTTAAAATAGCATAATGGCAGTGAAAGTATTCAAAAGATCAAGTTTCAAATCCCTGCTCCTATCAATACCATTTTATAAAAGAAGGGCATTTTAACATCTTCCCCCGCATATACACAGGCCATCATCTCATGATTTAAAAATTAAATAATTTCTCCTTTATGAAAAATTCATTGCATGATTCTTATTTTTCCAGTTTTGCTGAGGACCAGTGAAAACATCACCCTAAGGACTGGCATCAGTTCTTGGGCCAGCATTTGAGAACCATCTATTTTATTTTTCCAAACCTTAGTCTGGCCATCTGTAAAATAGTTATCCTCTAGTCTGAATCTAGCCTTATTAGCACTGACCACTTCACAGTGTTTTAAGAGGCTTTGCTGGGAAGGTAGGTGTGTGTGTGCTCCGCAGTCCCCGAGCCGGGAGTCCGTGAGAGGAGAGGACCGAGGCCCCAGCCTGTGCGTGGGCAGAGGGATCTGCAGATCCCAGGCTGGCAGGGGCAGAAGTGGGTGAAAGCGGGATGCATGCTCCTTTTTTTTCTTAGCGGTCTGGTGACCGGGCCCCCACCAGCCAGCTTGGTTTGGGGCTCACATTCTTAGGGGCTATCTGGAAGAGCAGGAGCAACAAAGGATAACATTTAGGTTGCAAGCAGGACGTTAATACACAGGTACAGGTTTGGTTTCAGGGGCAGTGGAAGCCCCTCCCAAATAGCTCTCCATCTTCTTGCCTGTACCTGAAATTCCTGTAAGAAAAATTGCTTGACATGCAAATACTCTAGAACCCAAGACAGATTTTTTCTCCTGACCACTAACCCAGAGTGCTTCCTATTTGCCGGACACCGTCTTAAGTGTTTTGCCTAGATTAACTAATTTAATCCTCACAGAATCCCATGAGATGGTTGTGGTATCACTCTCATTTTACAGAGGAGTAAAGTAAGGTAGAGGCGCCATGTCATTTGCCAGGGTCCCTGGTATAGTAAGTAGTGGAGCCAGGATTTGAATTCCACAGTCCTTGCTTTTAGCCATCTGCTAGGCTGCCTCCATGTTACCGTGGAGGTGGTACCACCACACCCTTTCCTGCTGTGCTAAGGGGGAGGCCAGTGGGGAGCCAGAAGGCACTGGGTACAGCCCTTGTGTGGGAAAGGATGCCAGGAATGGAGACTGCACACCACAAAGGCAAACCTTGCAGACAACACCTCCATCTGGTCGTCTGCTCTGCCCGTGGGGTGGGGTGGGGGTGGGAGGTAATGCTGATTTCAAACCACTTACCTTTCTAAACCACAGCAGCTGCCTTTTACCCGTTAGATCTGCCTAGAATATTATAGGGGAAATATTTTAGCTTATTATTTTTTTTAAAGATTTTATTTATTTGAGAGAGAGTAAGCGAGAGAGAGTGAGAGAGAAAAGGAGCAGGGGAGGGGCAGAAGCAGACTCCCCACTAAGCAGGGAGCCTGACGTGGGGCTCAATCCCAGGATCATGACCTGAGCCAAAGGCAGACGCTTAACCGGCTGAGCCACCCAGGCGCCCCTATAGTGGAAATATTTTTTAAAGTACCCTCTCCCCGCACTGAATATGAAGTTTTTGACATACACTCAGAATTTCTCTTTCACTTGATGGCCCAGAAAGCTGTTCAATTTCCCCTTTGTGTGAAACCCTTTGATTTTTAACTCGTAGTTTCTCCCAGGCCACATCTCATATCCTGCCTGATGGGCTCCTCTCCCTTCTGTAATTAGCCCTCGGATCCCAGCTGTGTTCCCCAGCACGTGGTTGCCAAAGTCAGGGAACACAGGCCAGGGCAGCAGAAAGCCCCAGGGGGCTGGGGCTCTTCAGTGGAACCTGACACTTCAGGAATAGGAAGCTGACTACAAAGCCCAAGATCAGGAGCAGCCTCTGCACGGACATTAATTATTCCCCAGATGAAACACTTGCCGTCTCTGGTGACTTGATCTAG